AAGGAGTTCATCATCACAACATTTACAACCTTCAGGAAAGAACAGTGATTGGAATGGCTATTGTTGTTGACGATTCTTCTGACGCCACTACATTGTGGTATATGCGGCTAGCTCATGCTGGAGATGTTTCGCTTATGGATTTGGTGAAGTAAGGATTGATTAAAGGAGCAAGCATCTGCAAGCTCAATTTTAATGATCATTATATGTTTGGCAAGAAGATACATGTATCCTTTGATACTGCCATCCACAGTACAAATGATATCTTGGAGTATGTTCACACATTTATTTAGGGCCCAATAAAGAGAACATCATTCGGCGGGCAAAGATATTTGGCCTTTTTTGTTGATGATTACTCCAGTTATGTTTGGGTGTACACATGAGGTGCAAAAATGAGATACCAGAGATCTTCAAAACTTGGAAGAAGTGGATTTAAAATCAGACTGGCAAAAAGATTCGATGTATCAGATCATACAATGGGGGCGAATATACTTCGGATTTATTCTTGTAGGAGTGTCAGAGATCTGGGATAGAGCACCACTTCACTATTAGAGAGACACCACAGTAGAATGGGGTGGTAAAGAGGATGAACTGAACTTTGGTGGAGAAAGTTCGGTGTATGTTATTCAATACTGGGTTGGAGAGTCTATTGGGCTGAAGCAATAGACTATGCCTGTCACTTGGTGAACAGTGAATCATCTTCCTTCTGTAGCTATTGGGAAGAAGACCCCAAAGGACATGTGGTCAAGGATCCTGTTAGAGATTATGAGCACTTGAAAATATTTGGGTGTCCAACTTATTATCATGTTTAGAATGATAAATTGAAACTAAAGGCAAAGAAGGCAATCTTTATTGGCTTCAGGTGTGGAGTTAAGGGCTTCAAACTCTATGATCTAGTTGAGAAGAAGATTGTCATCAATAGGGATGTTACTTTTGACGAGGCAAGCATGTTGAAGCCTTAGGACTCAAAGCAGGTGGAGAGTTTTATTGGGACCATAGATGCGCTGCAGAAGTTGGAGTTTAATGCAACTCCATTTACTCCACATAGACAGATCACTTCTACTCAGGTAGTTGATTCAGCTGAAGATCAGGAGGTAGAAGATGGTATAGAGATTGAGATTCCTATTGAGGAATCTATTGTGAAGAACAGGTCCAGACGCTAGAATATCCCAAAACTAGCTTGGTTGAGGGATCACATTGCATTTTTACTTTCATCCACGGAGGCTGAAGTTCCTAGTCACTATAAGGAAGCAGTGGACAGTGCAAATGATGATCTTTGGAAGAGGGCTATGGATGAAGAGATGGAGTCTCTTTAGAATGATGCTACTTGGAGGTTGGGAAAGATTATTCCAGAAAGAAAATCCATTGGGTGCAAATGGATGCGTGCAAAAAAGGATCTCTTAGAGCTAATGGGCAGTACAATGCTGGGTTGGTGGCAAAAGACTCTGCGCAACGGGAAGGGATTATTTATGATGAGGTGTTCTCCCCAGTGGTTAAGAATCCCTCAACCTGTGGTTACTTGGCACTTGTAGCACAATATGATCTGAATCTGGAGTAGCTCGATCTAGACATTGCACAAGCAGTTGGCGTTGTGAGCAGGTTCATACATAATACAGGAAGGAGTCATCGGCAAGCTATGAAGAGTATCTGGAGGTATCTGAAGGGTACAATTGATCCAAGCTTGAAGATGCAGTCACCATGGCAGTGGTGCATGACTCATGACTGATTGTCCACTTATTTGAAAAGCTACGCTATGCTTGATCGCTTGGGAGGGGGCACGTAGGCAACCATCTGGGTATAGTCATTCTAATATTGGAGTCTGGTTTGTTATCTTCCATTACTTTCTGAAGTGAAAGATGGGGTGAAGATTATTGATTTAGAATTATTTTTAAAATTAAATCAGCTTTTTTTAGCTTTGATATTCATTTAATGCATTAATTAGAGAATTAATTATATCCCTAAATAGTTGATTTGATTGGGATTTAATTGATGCATAGATTAGGAAGTTTTTTCTTTTTTGTTTCCCTAAATCTTTATAAATTGTTTAAGGGATGCATGAGAGTAAGAGAGAAAAAGCTTGAGAGCTATTGTAATTCCCTTGTTCTCCAATTTAGTGAAATCATCCCCTCTCCGTGGATGTAGCCTTCTTCGCCGAACCACATAAATCACTGTGTTTATTGTGTTTGTGTTGTGTGATTTTGTTTCCGCTATGTTTATTGCACAACATCGATGATATCTTGCCTTGGCATTTGATGACAACTTCCTAGTGTTAGTTCATTTTGTTAACCCGTGGTTGATAAATATTTGCCTTAGTATACTACATCGACTATTTGGCATGATCTTTCATGTTGGTCCTTTGCCGATAACTTACTGTTGACCTGCCTGCCTTCCAAAATTTACCTCGGAACTTAGTTCGTTAAAACTCCCTCGCCGAATAAGAAAAGCGAGCGGAGGCCGAGGCCGAATTTTCGGAGCCCACACTTACCTCCTTGATGCTCAGCACCATCTTTCCTTATTGGTGCTTGGCCAACAACTTCCCATCTTGGTGCTGCTTTCTTGACATGTTGTCTAGCCTTGCCTCTTCAAATTCTAGGGTGATTGGTCAACATTCGGTGGAATCTTAGCCTAGCACTGGCAGCAATTTAGTAGCTTGCAGGCTCTCAAAAAACTAGCAGGGGATCTTCATTGATTCTCCTAGAACTGACCTGGTATGTAATGTTGCTTTGAAATTTCTACAATAAACCAAAATAGATATATTTGCTTGGTACTTTTTACTTCTTTCCGTAATTATCCGTTTGTGTTATTAAATAATTGTGACTATTGCCCGTCGGGTGGCTTTCTTCTGTGTTTTTAAGAGCTTGAAGGTTTGCATGCTTTGAAGCCTAGTGATGAGAACATCAAGACATGGAAAGTTTATCAGAGGCATGGCCGTCGATCTACGGCCACGATTGCACCGCTCTACTTCTGATTTTGCATATTTATTATTTATGTATTAGTTTTGTTATGAAGTTTTATTATGTTTTTTCCATTTTTTCCCTTAAGGGTTTAGGCATGTGTACGCCCTAGAGGCATAGTAGTGCTTTGTATTTTCTCATTGTTTGAGCTATTTAAAGCCTTCCCCTCCTTTGAGGGTTAATGAATGATAATAAAAAACAATTTTTACAACTCTTTGTTTTGAGAGCTTGAGAGCTTTGGAGGAGAGCCCTTGGAGAGGGAACCGGATCACCCACCAACCTTAGAAGCGTCCAGGTTTGTAGCTTTTATTTTCTTTCTTCGTTTTCGTTCGTTTCTCCCTTCCCCTTCCTCCTAGCTGCTGGCCTAGGGACCCTAACCCCCTTAGCAGCCGGTTCTCCCTAGCAAAAACCCACCTTGCCGCCGGCCAACTCCACCCCACCAACCTACCTCCCCTTCACACCCAACCGGCCTTCCCTCTCCCACCACCAAGCCATCCAACCCACAAACCCTAACTCTAATCCTAGTCTAGCTGTTGGCCGTCCCATCTCCCTCTCGCCTCCAAAATTCAAATCCCTCGATTACTTCTTTCCTTTTCCATACAAATCATTTTGGAAAAGCTTTCAATCCAATCAACTAATCAATATTTGAAATTCGAATTGTTTCCTAAAATAAAGTTCTATTTTAGGAAACTTATCTAATCAAATCCAAATCAAGTTTGAATTGGATTGGAATTAATTTTTCCCACTTAATTAATTGGAATTCCCAAAGATGCAAGAACTAATGACCTTTCCCCAATCCCCTCCACTCCTCTTGAAGCCACCGGCCCCATGCCTCCTTCCCCATTTAATTTCTTTCCAAAACCTAGACTCCAATCAAAGGAATTAATTCCCTAATTGCCTCCCTTCCCCTCTTCCCTCTCTCTACCCGCCACCCACATCAAATCCTAGCCTCCAAAACATGCTCCACTACTGTATAGAAATATCAAAATCAACAAGAGAACTGTCCAAGAAGATCTCCTAGTTGCTGTCCAGTAAAGATCAGGGAGCTGTCCTGAATTTATGCACTTCTTCCCAGCTGTTCATTGGTTCGAGAAGGCTCTTGATTGCTGTCTTTGGATTCCTGATTCAAGATACTTGCTGTCCACTGTCCCCTCCATCAGTAACTTGCTTCTAAACCCGGACAAAGTTGAGACTCTTCCTCCAAATCCTTTATCCTTCTCGTTGCTTTCGATTGTAGCTCTAATTGAATCATGAAAGTTGTGTTAATCCTTTCCGCTAAAGCTTAATGTTTAGTAGGATTGTGTGAGGGATCTTTCATAGCACTGCTCTCATTGTTAGATTAGGGATTTCTTGTTGAAACCTATCTCGTAGGCAACGTCAAGAGTAATTGGTTGTTTTGTGGTTCTTACTTTCCGCAAGGAACATTGGCCTAAGCTTGTGTTTACTGCTCTTTGTATTTTATTTCATTGTTTAAATCACCATAAAGATTTTAATTAACTTGCTCTTAATCATTAAGCGTACAAAAATCCTTACCTAAATCATTTTCATATATATCCTGCATCACCTAGTAACTCAATTCTTTTTTGGAGCAACCCCAAAATTTTATTAAAGATTATTTAGTGTTAGTATCTATTGTGACAGCAGATATCTTATTCCGTTTAAAAATCAAGAATGGAGGGAGCTAGTCTGCAATTTTCCTTCAATTCCATTTAAAAATCAATACAAGACAGTTGCCACATTGTTTCACTTTTGGAGTTACATAATTACTTTTTTCCTTTTGAATATCTTATTCCGTTGTATCTATGGATATATTAATGTCACCCAGGTTGCAAAAGAGTAATAAATCCCTTGATGCTTGTACTTTTTTTTTGTGATTGCACTTAAATACAATGTCTTTCTCTCTTACTGTCCTCTTTATCTTAACATTATTGCTTAAATCAAATTTTGGATTTTGATACATCCGTGCAAAGCTTTGGAATTTACTAAATATGTTATTTTGGCTTTATGATTCTTGCCAATGGCACTCACTGTTAGTGGATGTTTATCTAGCATGTTGCAGAAATACCATATGAGAATGAGCTAGTGATGGATACACGACAAGTTGATCACGGTACTGTATCTTACTTGGAGACAATAGGGCTGTTAGGAAGCAACTTGTTGGCAGCACACTCTGTTTGGGTGGATGAGGATGAGGTGAGCATATGCACTGCTCCGAAGGCCAGGTTCTAGTATTTAATTTTTCCAAGGTGGAACATCAGCATGTTATTGATTCTTGCTATCAATACATGTACCTCTGCTTGTCTCTCTTTTCTATATTTTATTTTATCTTTTTTTTTTTTTCATGATGAAATATGATAGCTTCTAAAATCTACTAGCTTGTCTAGACATGATAGAGATCCAATCCTACAAATTTGTGAACTGTTTCAGATTGGTTTACTAGCCAAGGCTGATGTCAAGGTGTCTCATTGTCCTGCTGCTGCGATGCGAATGCTTGGATTTTGTCCTATAAAAGAGATGCTTGATCTTGGTGTGTGTGTCTCACTAGGAACTGATGGAGCACCTTCAAATAACAGAATGAGCATTGGTTTGTTTTTTCATCCTTTTTTAGCTGATTATCTTTATGCTGATTTTGTTCTAATGCTGGGTGTTATAACAGACTCTTAGGTTGATCACAACACAATTATCCCCACTTGAACCAGCCTTAAGCTAGATTGGCTTTGTTTCTTGAAGCCTCTTTTGACATTTAATATTTTTGAGAGTTGCATTTGATGTCAACTATTTCTGTTATTTCAACTATAACAATGGTTATTCTCAATGTTTGTTTGTTCATATTTCTGTTTTAAATCAAAAGAAATTTCTCTATTTTCTCTTTGAAATGTTTTTTCTATTAGGCTGGCTCAAGCTTTTGGCTATAACCATTACCTTCTTCAAAATATTTAATGGTCTGTTTAGAGGAAATTGCAGATCACCCACGGTACTGTTGTATGGTTATAAATGTCCGGTGAGTTTTAATTGCAACCTCATTCAGCGCATTGAATTATTTACCTTCCAGATACTTGACTTTCCCTTTCAGATATTTTTGACTAACCTGCTAAACTACAATGACTTGGGATTGATGTAGTTGGAATCTGTGTTTCTTCATTCCATAGGATGCCTTGAGCCACGAGCTAGTCTCGAGGTCAATCATTCTCAGCTCTACTTGTAGTTGTTTTGGACGACAATCATACAGTCAGTATATGTGAGGATTAATTGTTTGTGAACTTTTGCACAAACGCCGGAGTAAAAAAAGTTTCCATCCCTTTTAAAAAAACTTTTGAGTGGTAGATAAAAATCCTTCTAAGATTTTGACATGTAAATGTCTGTTTGCAGTAGATGAAATGTATTTGGCCTCTCTCATCAACAAAGGGCGAGAAGCTTATATTAAAGGAACAACTAACCCGACTGCTCTTCCTGCTGAGGTGGTACTAAAGATGGCAACGATAAATGGTGCAAAGTCAGTTTTGTTAGATAATGAGATAGGTTCTATTGAGATTGGTAAAAAGGTGAGACAGCACCATGCCCCCGCACCTTTTCCACTGGACTTCTGACATTCTCACTAAAAATTGTGATCTATTTCCTTATGACTTATTCTAGAACTGCAGTAGGATATTTTTGGGACTAATTAGGCATGTTTAATAGTATAATGTTCTTATTGATTGATTATTTAATGATGTTTTAGAATATTTTCAAGGTATTATGATGCTTCGATTTAAATTGTAATTTTGTTATGTTTAATTTTGATATTTGCATATCTTTTTTATACCGTTTCTCTAAATGTCAAGTTTAAATGAAATCATTTATGACACATCTTCTTTTGCAAAGAGGTAAGCATGTGAGTGTTTTCTGAGGTTATGATTTAAAAGAACAAAAACGCCTCTCTTCAGCATATTTGCATATCTTTTTATACCGTTTTTTTAAATGTTTGCGCTCAAGTTTAAATGAAATCATTTATGACTTGCGTTCTTTTGCAAAGAGGTAAGCTCCTACACGCATAAGGCTCCATGCACCTGCAAGTAAAAGAACAGAAATTGATTAGTACCAAAATAACTTCTAAAGAAAGTAAAGCAGGCTAATGAAAGTAGAATAGGCTACTGGTATATTAAAGTAACTAATTGTACAGTCTACAATACTGAAAGGAAAAGAGCAGGGTACTGTAGCAGAAGCACTTGTGTCAAACAACAACTGATGGCTAGTAAGTGTTGAACTAGTAAATAAACTGTTGGCTAGTAAGTGTTGAACTAGTAAATAAACTGCTAGTAAACCACTAAAAACCAAAGTCTAGTGTCATTCATACTAGTAGACAACTACAAATCAAAACTATTATCTAACTGATCTATCCTAAACACAAATCTATAGGCAACTTCTAAGGGAGTCATAAGACCTGTCAACAAATCAAAACTAATAGGCAACTTAGCCTATATGGTTAGGTTATAAGACTCGCTAACGGGCAACTTCTTAGTGAAGTCATAAGACCTACACATGAAGGAAATTGCTAAAAAAAATTGCAAGATCCTAAAACCCAAACAAATAAAACTAATGGATAGATTGGCCTATAAAGCTATGTTCTAAGACTCACAATTAGGCTACTTCTAAAGGGAAGTAGTAAGACTCGATCTACCCAAATAATCGGGCAACTTCTAAAGAAAGTCGTAAGACATATTCTTTGGAGAATTTCTAAACAAAGCATCAAAACCTCAAACAAAACAATCGGGGATATTAGTTTAAAAGACTAGGTTGTAAGACTCACCAGTGGACTACTTTAATAGAAGCCATAAGATCCACTTTACAGGCTACTTTCAATGGAAGCCGTAAGTCCCAACCCAAATTCAAAAATCCAGGCTACTTCTAAGGGATGCCATGAGACTCGCTTCAATTCAAACATCTGGGTAACTTCTAAATGAAGTTATAAATCTCAAATCAATCTAACTTATGAGTATTCTAATAGTTGTAAATGTAAACCCCAAAATCCAACAAAACTAAAATTTATATCTAACCACTTCAGTTTACTCGGGATCCCTTAAAGGAGGTAATCCATGATTGCTAATCAGATTCTCTGGACACTACGGTCAACGATTGTTAATGTTGGTAGACTGAAACCTTTGGAATACCCGGGACGACGGAACCATGGGATCTTGATCGGATTTACCTTCATTTTTTCCTACAATTGAGACTAAAAATACATAAAATTATTCATCCTTAATCAAGAGTTTTCTTTTATGCGTTAAGAGGGGTAATTAACTATGAGTGCTTGCACTCATGAGAAGATCTAACTAAACCCTGATACTGCCCTCAGGGAAAATTCGGTTAACTACAATCTGACTTAAGGGGGATGGAATCCTATGTCTGCAAAGCGGAATTCATGCCAATTTTCCATTTTTCTTGAGCCAACAAGCATCTCTCTCCAGAATAGGTAGAAGGATAAAATTATCAACCAACCCCTCCCCCCTCCCAATAAAAAAATCCCTTCTTATTTTTGCAAAGCCAAGATTTTGTTGTTTTGGCCTGGTTTGTCATGTATCTTAATGAATTGTGATTGGTTAAGGAAATTCATATATTGTTGAATTTGATGTGATTATAAAACCAAACCAATTAATCATGACGAAAGTGACCAATGATGAACGTGATGCCATGCAAAAGTATCTAAACATTTGCTCGTTTCGCAAAATGGATCACATCATTCCATTCAGAACATCAAATTTATCAAGGATCCCTCTTGATCGATTCGAGGGAGCTCAAGTGAAGGTGACAAACTGTAAGTGCGATGTTGCACGAAATTGCTCAAATGTCGTTCGTTTATTAAACAGATTGTGCTTTGCTTCTTAAAAATAGCTAGAAAGGATATGTATATTTTCTAGGTCACTGCATGAGAGAAACAACTAAAAAATTCATATATGCGCACAAAATAAGGGCAAAATTTGGTGAAAAAGCATACTTCACACATGAACAATTAAGGCCTCAATCGTATATTGACCGAACTCTAAAATCAATTCAATATCATTCTCTTTTTTGAAACGTTTCCTAAGAATATCCCCGAATCAATCGAAATAGGGGAACCTGGGGATGACAAATCCGTCTCCTTGAGGGGAGAGTCCATGGAATTTCCATTCTGTGACTGCTCTGCTCTCTTCGAGAGACTTTTGTCGGTTTGTCGGAAATTGCCAGCTGATTATTTAAGCTATACTAAATCTAATGTCCGCCTGGACCTGTATAATGGTATTAGAAGGGTGACCTTTATTTAGGTCTGCCTTCGACCTAAATCAGCCTATGTGAAATGCAGTCTCTATCGCTCTGCTGCAAGAGTCAAATATGAGACTTCATACACCTCAAAGCTCATAGGACGAAAAGAGGTTTTTTTGAGATCCTTATACTCATTATGCCCAAGAATTTCGCTATTTCGACTCTGCTAGTCCTTGGGAACAGCGTAGCGACGGATAATTTAGAATCAGAATAGGTCCAGTCCAGGGGACAAAGAAATAGGAAATGTTATTTGCTTCTGAATGAAGGTGCCCGTACGGTTCCTCAGGGATACAATTTTGCCCTAATCAACTGACTTCATCGAGAAAGATTACTTTTTTTAGGCCAAGAGGTTGATATTGAGATCTCGAATCAACTAACAAATCTATCATGCAGACCAGCTGCCTACCGAATTCACATCGGTTTCCACCACATGACAATGAAGTGAGTTGAGTGATGATGGCATAAACAAACATAAACAGAGTAAGACACGCGAACTAGATTGATCCCTGCATCAATGCCCATGCTTCAGCCATGTCTTGGTAGTACCTCCCACCCGAATGATCTACCTACCTCACCTGCAACCAGTAAATCATGCTATCCTGACCTTCTCTTTCGAAAGAGCTTACTTTTGAAAGCCAATCGAAGCCATTCTTGAAGCCATCTCACCTGGAGATGTAAAAAGGATGTGTGCGAACAATGAAAGTTTGGCATGCAAATCATTACACAATTTAATAAATTTTTTTATTATATATACATATCAAATTAATTTAAAAAAAAATGAAATCTTATGGTATACTTGCACTTATCGCAATGTTATAGTAAAAAGGGGAAAAAAAAAGAAAAAAATTAATAAATAATTAAAAAAAACTAATTCCCAAACAATCTCTCTCTCCCTCATGGCACTCTCTTATACAAAAAAATGCAACCGCCATTGCCCTTCTCTCCCTATCTCTTATTCTCGTACACAACGATTGTTGCGCTTTCTAAGATGGTATCTCTAAGGAATTTGAATTTTCTTCTCCAGGAAAATTAAATTTGACCGCCTTCTTACATTAATTTATAGTAACAATATGGCTAGATGACCAATCCATTACTAAGATTGTATCATATTATTTAGTGGAAATAAAATCAAATATGCCTCAAAACTTTTCTTACAAATTTCTCTAATAGCTTGGTATATTCTATTAACATATGTATGGTTACTATTTGACAAAACGACCAATGAAATAATGAAATGTTTTGGAGTAAAAAAAAATTGTGGCAATGTTATTTTCAATTGAAATTCTACATGTGATCACATTTGGTGATTCTTTTGCCTATTGTTGTGACAAAGCATACACGCGAGGTTAAATATTCTAGTGGTTCTAATTCTAGCTTAGATTTAATGTCGTCAACTTTATTAGTCTCTAGTTGCAAAAACTTTTGTTAGATGGTACAACATTTTCTTGAAGATGTTTATTTTCAAGTGTAGAATAGGGGTGTAAACGAGTCGAGTCGAGTTTAGGTCCTTATCGAGCTCTGCTTGTTAGATGGAAAGCGAGCTCAAGTCAAGCTCGAACTCGAGCTCGTCTCACTGTAAACGAGCTTGAGCTGGCTCGCCAGCCATGGGCGGGAATTATTAAATTTAGGAGGGATTTTTAAAACTTAGACAAATTTTTTTAAAAAAATATGAAATGTTTAACATTTAAATAAAATTTAAATGATTTTTATTATTATTTTTTTAATATTTAAATTTAATAAATAAAATAAAATTATTTTAAAAATATTAATATTTATTCGAGCCGGCTCGCGAGCTCACGAGCCGAGCAGGCTCAAGCTTTAACTCGAGCTTGTTTACTAAACGAGCTCGATAAGCTCGGCTCGCGAGCCCATAAACGAGTCGAGCTTGAGCTGGCTCGTGAGCCGGCTCGGCTCACTTACACCCCTAGTATAGGACAATACTTAGCCATATATTTTGGCTGGTGGCACCAAAAGCAGGCGTTGGTCCCAAAATGACATTACCTCATGTGTGCTCTCTCAGACTTCTCACATTTCTTAACATTGATACCGTGTATTGTAACTTGATTTAGATTTAATTTCTTCTAGTTTGAGCGCTTGAACTGTGAGAATTACACCCTCTTTGATCCTTCAGCATTCTCCCATCTCTGAAAATCTCCGCATCTCTTGATGGCTTAGAATTCCATCTCTAGTCTCTTAGCTCTTTCCACAAATTGTGTAATTATCTATTCATAAATGAACTAAAGGTTGTTTTATTACATCCTTTAGC